GGCGAACCCTGCGTGCTTGGAATACAAAGGAAATGGCACAGTCTGGGATGTTCTTCTCTCTTCTCACTCCCCCTGTTCTTCCTATTTTTCATCTCTAACATGACCTGGCCGTCACTCTCTGTGTGCCGCCTTTGCCCTGTAGTAGAAGGAACCCTTCTGTTAGCATATTGATGTAGTCTTGCACCAGATAAGAAGCTAAATGACTTGAATGGCTTGATAAAGCCCATGTGGCCAGGAAGTGGCCGGTCGCATAATATTCTGGACTCTAAATAGTGTGCCTTTGACACGTTTGTCATTGTCTTGCTGAAGCAGGCAGAGCTGTCTGTGCCCTGCCTTCCAGAGCTTTCTGTGCTCATGGGCACCACAGTCCTGCCTCTGGGCAGGGCCCACCCTTACCTGAGATGTGTGTGTGGCTGACCTCTTGGGAAACCCTGAAGCCAGAGTCGGAGGCACCCCATCATTTTCTAGGAACAGGAATAACTGGAGAAACAAGTCTTCCAAAGTGGCTCCACCTTTTGAGGTAACTGGGAGTGCCTTTTCTTGGGGTGACTCACTCAGGAGGGTCCCCGATTGTGTGCTTAAGGAGTCCTTTTCTCTCCTTTTATGGTAGTCTGCAAATAGCAGAGAGAAGCCCCTTTCTCTGGATGCTCCCTGGGTGCCTCCCTATGGCCCTGCTGCTGCCGACTGCTTTAACACATTCTTCTGTCCCTGCTGTTTAGATGCCGTGTTGTAGGAGCCTGTTGCTAGGGTATGTTCTGTTGTGTCTTCCACCACCTTTAAACAAGCAGCTCATGTTCTTTTCTCTCCCCTGGAATGGATCACTGTGTAAGCCTTTTTCATAGGTTAAGAATCCAGGATTGCCCCCAAATAGGCCAGACCCACCCCCACTCCCCACTCTCAGGCATCAGGTCTCAGGTGTCAAGGGTGAAAGGTCACTGGGGCCCCCTCAGCTCCACTCTGAGTGACCTGGAGCCTAAGCAAACATTTCCTGCCTTCTGCAGTGTCCTGGAGAGGCGGGTCCTCTGCCTGCAGCAACTTCCCTCCCCGGGGGCGCCGGGAACTCCCCCAGTCTTCAGTGGAGAATGCAGAGACAGTTTATGCCCTCTGAGTTCTATTAGGGCATAATGACTCGCAGCTTTAAATGCAGATGGAAGCTATTAAAAGCAGTGAAAGCTATTCTTTTTTTTTTTTTTTTCTTTTTCTGTATTGCCCTTGTGGAAGTAGGAAAGTGACAGGGTCTTTGAAGTTCGCAAAGGCTTAAGTGCGCCTTGGCACACCTCTTGGTGGAAGGTGTTTAGTGCATCCCAGGAGGCAAGATTGAAGCTGAGGCCAAAGCAGGCAAACCTGAGGTTCTTGGGCAGGCACTTACCTGGGCTGGAAGGCCTGGCTCTGCCTTCGAGTACAGAACATGAATGCAAAGCAGCAGGAGTAATAATGATGATGATGACGATGCTGGCACCCACTGACATTTATGGAGTTCATTAATAATGTTCCTGGTACTATACAAAGTCCTTATTGACATACGTTATCTCATTAGTCCATTCTTTCCTAATCCTATGAAGCAAACACTTTATTGATCCCCATCTCACAGGTGAAGAAATGGAAGTTTAGAGATACTAAGTTCTGAAATAAACAGGCCAGGCACGGTGGCTCACACCTGTAATCCCAACACTTTGGGAGGCTGAGGTGGGCCGATCACGAGGTCGGGAGTTCGAGACCAGTGTGGCCAACATAGTGAAACCCTGTCTCTACTAAAAATACAAAAGTTAGCTGGATGTGGCGGTGTGCACCTGTAATCCCAGCTACTCAGGAGGCTGAGGCAGGAGAATCGCGTGAACTCGGGAGGTGGTGGTTGTAGTGAGCCAAGATTGCGCCATTGCACTCCAGCCTGGGTGACAGTACGAGACTCCGTCTCAAAAAAAAAAAAAAAAAAGAAACTTAGGTTTGGTCTCTGCCCCCATTTCCTGGCACCCAACAGCTCTTAGAACCCCCAGACTCTGAAGTGATAAGCGTCTGAATGCCGATGAGATGACTGGGTGACTGAGGGGGCTCCCGAGAGCCTCAGGATGGGGGCTAGTTGCCAAGGGAGCCAACCCTATGATTAAAGGGTTTGACTTCCAGTCCCATCTCCCCAGTCTCCTCCAGGGAGGGAAGTGAGGCTAAAGGTTGAGAGGCTCACCAATGGCCAATGATGTAATCAATCATGCCTGCATGATGAAGCCTCCATGTAAACCCAAAAGGCGTCAGGCGCGGTGGTTCACACCTGTAATCCCAGCACTTTGGGAGGCTGGGGTGACAGGCAGATCATTTGAGTTCAGGAGTTCGAGACCAGCCTGACCAATATGGTAAAACCCTGTCACTACTAAAAATACAAAAAAAATTAGCCAGGTGTGGTGGCACATGCCTGTAGTCCCAGCTCCTTGGGAGGCTGAGGCAGGAGAATTGCTTGAACCCAGGAGACAGAGGTTGCAGTGAGTCGAGATCGCACCACTGCACTCCAGCCTGGGAGACAGAGTGAGACTCCATCTCAAAATAAACAAACAAACAAACAAACAAACCCAAAAGGCTGGGCTTCTGGGAGCTTCTGGATTGCTGAAGGAGTGGAAGTCCCTGGAGGGTGTGCACCCTGCACCTGGAGAGGGCATGGAGGTGTCACTTCCCTCCCACATCCCTTGCCCTGTGCATCTCTTCCATCTCCAAGTAGGGAGTGTCAGAATTGAGTTACATTTTAGGACACCCAGCTGATGTTGGAGAATGGCTTTGTGCAAGTGTTCTGTGTTGTGTGAGTATAAGACAAAGAAAGTTTGTTTTTCCTATTCATAAGTAAATTTGCCCAAATTCTCAACTGCTAAGTAAAAAAAATGTGGACTTCCCACCTGGCCATCTGGCTCCAACCCTGCACTGCCTATGAGGCTCTTGTGGGGTCAGCCTGGGCTCAACTCCATTGATGAACTTGGAAACACGACTTGATTGTGTCACCTGTACATTTGAAATAATAATCATGTTTACCTGTGTTGACAAAAGGAGTCAAACTCTAAAATATTTGAAGATATTCATCCTGAGCCAAATATGGGAGACCAACGGTCTGTGACACAGCTCTCGGGAGACCCTGAGAACATGTGCCCAAGGTGGTTGGGGTACAGCCTCGTATACGTTTTAGGGAGACATGAGACATCAATCAAATACATGTAAGATGTAATTTGGTTTGGCCTGGGAAGGTGGGACAACTGGAAGCCAGGGCTTCCAGGTCATAAGTAAATTCAAAGATTTTCCGATTGGCAGTTGGTTGAAAGAGTCAAGTTATTGTCTAAAGACTTAGGAACGTCTGAGTTAAGATAAGAGGTGGTGGAAACCAAGGTTTTATCGTGTGGGTAAAGCCTCCAGGGAGGAGGTTTTGGAGAGAACAGATTGTAAATGTTTCTTATCAGACTGAAGGAGTCTGCTGTATCAGTAATTCCAAAAGGGAGGAGGTTATAATGAGCCATGGCTGACCCCCCCTTCCCATCATGGCCTGAACTACTTTTTCAGGTTAACTTTGGAATGCCCTTTGCTGAGAGGAAGAATTCATTCAGATTGTTGGGGGTCTTAGGACTTTATTTCTGGTTTACAGCTAGTATGGGTATGGCAAGGATGGTGTGGGGTAATCCACAAAATGCTTGAAATGGTGAGCAGCATGGCATATGTGCTCACTGTATTTTTGCTGACTCATGCTGACTGCAGCCCCAGGAGGGCATGGGCTCAGCGCTGACTCCTCATGCCTCCTGGCTGGTTTCTGAGATCAACCACAGGGGTTAAACTTCTTTCCAGGGAAGAAGGGCGGGGATGTCAGAGCCGGAGAATGCCTGGGTCCTTCTCTATGCATTGGGCTCCTTCCTCCTTAATTCTCTGCTTTCCACTTTTTAGGCTGAACTCCAGTGTACCCAGTTAGACTTGGAGCGGAAACTCAAGTTGAATGAAAATGCCATCTCCAGGCTCCAGGCCAACCAAAAGTCTGTTCTGGTAAGACCAGCCTGGGTCAGCCAGGCCCTTCTGGGGGTGTGGGACATGGTACTGCATGCCTAGCCTCCATTCCTGTAGGTTCCTCGGGGTTTCTCCACAAATGAGAATTGTAGATACAGTTGACTACACCATGGGGTAGCCTCACCTTGATGTCAGGATTTGTTATGAAATTAGTTTAAGTTTTAAACCTGGCAAGTGATTTGCTTTTTAATAATATAAATTAGAACCAAGATGAATCCTATAATAACAACATTCTTATTTCTACATTTGCATATGCTGTCTTGACAGGGTGTATGTGTGTGCGGGGCTGGGTGTTTAGTCAGAGGTCCAGAAATTATATGTAATCTTGGCTTCTTCCATTATATGAGTCTCACCAGTCCTATGACCTGGCAACTGGAAAAAAGGAGTTGAGAACTCAGGATTAGTGATGGTATTTGAGAAGGCCATGGTGTGCCAGGCTAAGTAGGCAGTAAGTGGTCTTCAGGTGGACTCTGAGGAGTTCTGCAAATGCCTCTCATCAGTGGCAAGCCAGTAACCACCACTCAGAAGAAAATGCAGAACAGCCTGGGCGCAGCGGCTCACACCTGTAATTCCAGCACTTTGAGAGGCTGAGGCGGGCAGATCACTTGAGGTCAGGAGTTCGAGACCAGTCTGGCCAACATGGTGAAACCCCGACTCTACAAAAAAATACAAAAATTCTCCAGGCATGGTGGTGCGCGCCTGTAGTCCCAGTTACTCAGGAGACTGAGGTAGGAGAATTGCTTGAACCCAGGAGGCGGAGGCTGCCATGAGCCAATTTTGCACCACTGCACTCCAGCCTGGGTAACAGAGTGAGACTCTGTTTCAAAAAAAGAGAGAGAGAATGCAAAACACCTACCCTATGGAAGTGAATCAGCATTGTCATCTTTATATCCTGAGAATGAATGATTCCATCCATCCTCCATCCATCCATTCGTCTACCCCTAATGCATGTATTCATTTCAACTTAAATTTTCACCTCCTGGGTGTTTACAACCAACTAGCTACTGAAGGATGAAATACCTCTTTCTTACCCACAATATTTTATTAAAGGAAGAAAGAGAATTATCCCTTTAAAGCCATATAAATCTTCAGAGATAATGGATTTCCAGGCTCAAGATAACCTGTAGAACCACATGGAGGGTCTTGTGTTTCCCAGCTCTTTAATTTTCAGACACTTTGATCCCTCCTCAGTTCTCATAAGTACATGACGACCAGGGGAGGTCGTTATTACAATAGCTACCATGCACAAGGGGGATGAAGATGACAAGACTTGTCTAGGGCTATCTAGATTGATGGAACGGGAGAACCTAGAGTTGTTGCTCCCTTGACCTAGGAATGACTCAGTATATTGACAGGCATGTACACCACCCTCAAATCTTTAAACCATTACCTGCTGGCTCCTTGGATGTGTTGAGGCCTCTCCTCTCTGTACTATTTCTGCTTTAGTAATGCAGTAAGTAATGCCCTTTGCACATTACATTTACATGCAAGAAAGAAGTGTTTCTCAATGGGAAGGTTTAGGAATGAGAGGCCAGGCCACAGCAAAGTCAATCTCAATCCACCAATATCATCTGACGCCTCCTTTCCACCATCCTTCCTCAGGATGGCCTCAGTTGGGGCTGGGGGTGAGGATTTGGATCCTGAGTTTGTCTTTAGTCTCATGCCTCTTAGTCTTGTGGTATCATGCTTCTATGAGGAACCTATGGGTCGTAATTGTAGGCAGGATTCTGCTCCTTTCCTACAACACCCTCATGCTGGTTCCCATGCTGTGTCCTGCTCCTGCTTTCTGGAGGTGATCGGGAGTGGGCAGTGCAGGCAGGGAGTACTCTGTGGCCTCTGTGAGTCGTAGAGCCTGGACACCTGGAGCCTGAGTGGACATGAAGGGTGAGTAAGCCGGGGAACTAGGACACATTAGCTAACACAGAGCCTGGATCAAACACTACCACCACTATTTGCCCCTGCTCCCAAATGGTTATAAGCAAAACTCTCCTGTCTTCTGAGGTAGATTTCTTCATCGTTACTTCTTTGCCATATGGAAATGTAATTTGACTTTTACATTTAAATCCAGTCGTGATTAATATCTCAGGATTTACAGTATTTACAGTGTCAAGGAGGCAACACCTGTAAACAGTTGGTTCAGGAATTGCTGGGAGGCTTGACCTCTTTCCCTCTTGGTTGCCTGCTCAGCAGCAGCCTGTATATTTAGTCCATTATGGGCATAGGATGTTCCCCTAACTGGTGCCCACAGTGAACAAGTGGCTAGGCCCTGTCTCTCGTCGGGTCTTGGGAGGGGGCCGAACTTAAAGGTCCTTCCCTGCAACGTCCCCCCCAGCCACAGCCCATGGGCTGAAAGAAAGCTCAGCTGAACTCCTCGTGTGCCTCCCCAGCTCGTCCTAGTGAATGTGCCAGGGCCCAGAGGGAGAGGTCGGGCTGTGCCAGCTAAGTGCTATACTGCAGACACATGGATCCCCAACCCTGGGCCCTACTTCGAGGCAGTGTGGACTGGTGGTCAAAGGGATGGACTCCAGAGACCAGCAGTCTGGGTTCAAACCTTGGCTGTGTGATCTTGGGCAAATCAGTCCATTTATCACTGTCTCAGTTTCCTTATTTAAGAAATAGAGACCCTAATAGCACCTGCCTTTTAGGGTTGCCAGGAGAACAGTGCCTGGCACATAGTAAGAACTTACTACATGTTGGTTGTTTTTATGATTGTTATATAATTAGAAGAGTGACCAGGCTGGCAGCAGAGGGTCCTCATTCCCAGGAGAGTGGGAAGAGGGAGAGAGGTGAGGTGTCAGAGGGCTGCAAAGCCTATGCCTGGCAGAACCCCAGGCAGCAGGTTTGCCACCTGGGGGGCCTGGGTGGGGCCCAGGTAGCTTTCCTGGATCTCAGGTCTTCACTCTTCAGATGGTGCTCTGAGCCTCCCATCCACAGTCCAGAGCCCATTCTCTGCCTGTCTCCTTCTCCACTATTGTCCCCACCTGCAGTCTCTCTGAGCGGCTGGTTCAGGTGCTGCTATTCTCCTCCCAAGGGTGAGGGCCAGCCCTGAACAACAGGGCTCTGGTTTCCCAAATCGCCTCTCCTGCTGCCCTGGCTTCTCAACACCATCACCTGTCTAAAAGCTTTTCTTGGTGTGGACTGGAAGAATTTGGATAAAGTCTACCATCCCCACTCTTCCTTAATCCTGTTACCACAGTTTATTTGCTCCCAGCTCTGTCCAGCTACCTAACCTCAAGGAAGCCAACAGGTAATGGAAAAGTTGGCATAAAAATGAGAATGTAGGCCGGACGTGGTGGCTCACACCTGTAATCCCAGCATTTTGGGAGGCCAAGGCAGGCAAATTGCTTGAGACCAGGAGTTTGAGACCAGCCTGGGCAACATAGTAAGATCCTATCACTACAAAAAATACAAAAATTAGTTGGGCATGAAGGTATGCACCTATGGTCTCAGCTACTTGGGAGGCTGAGGTGGGAGGATCATTTGAGCTTGGGAGGTCAAAGCTGCAGTGAGCCGAGATTGTGCCACACCAACCTGGCAACAGAGGAGACTTTGTCTCAAAAAAAAAAAAAGAGAGAGAGACAGAGAATGTAGGGAGATTGTCTGTGTCTTCCCACCATCCCCCTCCAGTAGGGATAACCCTTGCTTTCTTTGCCCTGCTTATTCTTCCCTTTGCCACCAGACTGAAGACTGATCAGAGACCAGTCATTCTCGTGGACTGAATTCCTGAGCCAGGCAGAAGACCTCCTATCTGGTGTCATCATTTTTTCTTCCCATCTCCCTCCAAACCTCTAGGCTGCTACCCAACCTGGGCCCAGAATCCAGTCCTTTCTGAATCCTCTCCTTACTGTGCTCCCCTTTTTGATCCGGGTCTCATTCTCCTCCCTCTTTCCTTCCTTGCCAGGGATGGGAGGTGCCCCTGAAGCCTCTGCCCAAGGATATCTGCTGTTTGACTCACTTTGGAGCCCTGATGTTCAGAGCTGGCCCTGAACATTGGGAGGAGAAAGAGAAAACAGCACCTGGAGGGGTGCTCAGAAAGTCTCAGATGGGATAGAGCTGGAGTGCAGTGCCTCGATCTTGGCTCACTGCAAGCTCCTCCTCTCAGGTTCACGCCATTCTCCCGCCTCAACCTCCCGAACAGCTGGGACTACAGGGGCCCACCACCACGCCCAGCTAATTTTTTGTATTTTTAGTAGAGACGGGGTTTCACCGTGTTAGCCAGGATGGTCTCAATCTCCTGACCTGGTGATCCGCCCGCCTCGGCCTCCTAAAGTGCTGGGATTACAGGCATGAGCAGCCACCATGCCCGGCCGTCTGCACCAATTCTCAAGAATACCAGAGAAGAGGAAACCTTCAGAATTTGGAAGGATATTGTAAACATGATATTGGTCGGAGGCATTCACAGAGGATGCTAACCATGCAAAAGAGTCCACATGCATATGCCCTATCGTTCAAACCCTTAATGTTTCTCACATGAGTTTTCTTTTATGTTTTATTTGAATGTCACATTCTGTTCTGCATATACATGCTTGTCCTGGAATTGCTTGGGTGCCATGGTCATCTACACCGTAAACATTTTGTGGTGATTCTGTATAGAGACAGTATCATCTTAGACATGCATTTGGCTCTGATGGACTCAGTGTTCAGTTTAACCAGGCATAATGAAATGCTAACTCATGCTGATTATACCAAAAAAAAAAAAGCCAAATTCTTTACCTCTTGAAATATAACTATCAAGTAGACTGAGTACACGCATTGCTCTGGTAGGAAAATCAGTTTCAGAAACTTGATTAACAATCCCAGAGTGTCAGGGTTGTGAGGGATCTCAGAGGTCATAGAGGAATTCACTCATCAAATGGATGAGGAGACCAAGTTAACAAGTAAATCCTTTTTCCAGGAACCTGGAATTCACATGAGAATAAAGGATTCCTTTTACAATAGGGAACTGCTCCCTAGTATATGTTTCTCGAGCTGACGTTTCTGTATGTTGAGCTTCTATCAAGTTGGATGCCTCACTAAGAAGTGCTTGGCTGCCTTCCACCCCATCCCCCCACCAGGTGTCGGTGTCAGAGGTCAAAGCAGTGGCTGAAATGCAGTTTGGGGAACTCCTTGCTGCTGTGAGGAAGGCCCAGGCCAATGTGATGGTCTTCTTAGAGGAGAAAGAGCAAGCCGCGCTGAGCCAGGCTAATGGCATCAAGGCCCACCTGGAGTACAGGAGTGCCGAGATGGAGAAGAACAAGCAGGAGCTGGAGAGGATGGCGGCCATCAGCAACACTGTCCAGTTCCTGGAGGTATGGGGGGTGAGGGAGCGGAGGCATCCCACAGCTGCCTCACGAAGCACCCTCGCTTTGCTAGGCCCATGGCCATCTGTGAATGGAACTGTTTTTTGTTCAGTGCTGTGCACAGGGAGCTGTGGGAACAGAGAGAAGCAGATTCTTCATTCAGCAGAGTATAGGAGGGGTAGGGAGGGAGGACTGCTCAGAGCAGGGAAGCTTGAAGCAGGTCCTAGAAGATGAGTCAGGTTCAACGTGCAGTATGTTCCAGGTAGAGGGAACAACACAGGCAAAGGCAGAGAGGTTTGAGGAAGCACAGCTGACTTGGGGAACCAAGGTATTTTAACAAGGGTGGAGCCTGGGGTGCTGGGTGCAGAGTGATGAGGCTGGCACGGCCAGGCAGGTGTCTGGCTGGGAAGGGCTTCAGATGGGAGAGTGATGAGAGTCAGTGAGTATGTTTTATAAACCGCTCCAGCAGTCCACTGCATGGAGGTTTGCTTGGTAGGGATGAGACTGGAGCCCTGCTGCTTTTCAGAGAGGGCTGTGGCTGGAGTAATTGAGGAAGGCTCAGAAGAGGAAATGCTTTTCATTACAGTATATCATTAGACATTAAACTGTAAGCCATTGGAACCAGGAAATACTTTTCATTACAGTGTATCATTAGAAATTAAAATGTAAGCCATTGGAACCAGATCTGAAGAACATGTAACCTTTCAGGGAAGGAACACTAGGTTGGGGGTAAACTACAACATCCTGAATGGGTCACTAAACAGGTCTGTAACAGCTCTTAACATCCCTGGGTCTCAAATTTCTCATTTATCAACAAGCCCACTGGAGTATATAATTCAGACGCCTCCATCCAAGCTCTGATATTCTGAAATACAATTTTTTTCTTGCTTCCATTTGTGAAAAAATTCTTTGCTAGTTACAAAAACAAATGTTTATTGTGAAAAACTTGGAAAATACAAAAAAAGAAGAAAAAAATTATCCATAATCCCAATACACAAATACAACATAATTAACTTTTGAATGAGTAAAAGAGAAACAGAGACAGATAGACAGAAACCCCAACAGAGTTTCTCTCTTTCTGTCAGTTTCTTTGCTTTTCAATCTCAAAACACAAAGAAAATATGAACAACCATTTAATAGCCATTTGGCTTCCCACTTCACAAGTTTCCCTTAAGATCTACCCAAAGAGTATACAAATTATTTCTCTTTTCTCCTTTTGTAACTTTATTTATTTATTTATTTATGTTTTGTTTTTTGAGATGGAGTCTTGCTCTGTCACTCAGGCTGGAGTGCAGTGACGCGATCTTGGCTCACTGCAACCTCCTCCTCCCGGATACAAGCAATTCTCTG